TAATAATTAGATTCTATACCTCGAAAATTATAACAGAATTATAAATTTTTCATATACAGAATCTAATTATTGGGGGGCAGGGAGGAGGGTTGTCTTATAATCCTGGCTGTCTTCTATTCAAGTAAATATGTTCCTATGAGAAAAAGTGAAGACAAAAATAGGATACCCTTATACAATAACTTAGCCTCATTTCCATCAGCCTAATTTCTTGACACTAATTTTGCTGACTATTGTTCACAACAGATGCTGTGCAGTTAAAAATGTTATAAACATGCATAGGGATTAATCAATACTGCAGAACCTAGTAGTAATAATGGAGAGAGACAAGAGTGGAGGGAGACTGGAAAAAAAAATCTTACATATGATCTTGCTTTATACTGAAGAAATTGTTTATAAGAGTCATTGTATTTATAAAATGAAGTCATGGGTGTTACCAAAAAATAAAGCTTCTCTTTCACCTTTGAGTATGTGACAGAAGTTGGGGATATTCTGAGAGAAATTTGCAGGCCTATAAAGATCTTTGCTTCTTATGAAATTGTGTCATCTGAGGCAAAAGCCCTTTGCTGACTGACCTGCTAAGCCTGCTAGTGCTTCAGCTAAAAATAGTTTTCAGGATTTATTTACCCCAGTAAAGCTACTTGTAATCTTTAAGGCCAATTTTAAGTAAGAATTATCAAGTCCTACATCCAAATGTAGAATTACAATGTTCTATAATTAAAAAGCTAGCCCAGGTATTATGCTAACTTTTCCTTATGTGATTTTGGCAAAAGACATCCAGGAGAACTGTATATATAAATAAACAAAAATGTTATGGATTTGAACCATTTTAAAATAAACGTGGGCACAGAGTTTCAGCCCAATGTGATTTGACACAGCTGAGATACAGGGTTTTATAACTGAAATGCTGACAGATTCTTAACTCTAGTATTGCTGGCGAGACACTGTGACGACTAATAAGCACCTTAAATTTCATGCTGTTCAAGACTTTGGCAAGCCACAGAGTAACACAATAAAACCTCACTGTTAAATTCTCAGGGGCTCTCATTGAATTCTTTACAGAAAAGATAAACAATCCAACTCTGTTGATCAGAACAGTGCAGGTTTGTTTCTCCACCTCCCAAGTGTCAATGGGGATATAAAATGTAACACCATTGCAATTATTTATTAATGAAACAGTATAGTTCTTTTTATAACACCTGATATTAATGTGCTATGAAACAGACTACAAACTAAGAAAGCTAAAAACAGGGAAAGGAACAATTTTAATTCCTGTTAGACTTCAGATACCTCTTTAGTCCCAACACTCATGCCAATTTCAAGTAACTGTACTTGTTGCATGCCTTACTTTACCTGTATTCTTGTAAAAACGTGAAACATTTATTTATAAAATGTCAATACGGTCAGTGCAAAGCCAAATGTTAAACAACATTTTACTTCTCTAAATGACTGCATTTGACAGCCACAGACAGTGCAGTAAGTGTTCCCATTTTTATGTTCCTACCTCCTCTCCACGCCAGGATAAAAACTTATTATGGTGGAGAATATTTACATTTAAAAGGATAAAGCACTGAGCAATGGAAAACAAATTCCAAAACTGTGATCCCATTTGTTAGATGGCTGCTTTAAGGCCTAAGGTGTGAATCAAAGCATAGTTATTGTTGTACAGGTATGCCATAGTTATTGTGTGGTATAGGTATGCAGTAAACATATTGACGAACAGCTGAGAAGGGAACAGATGATTAAATATTCAAAGTTTAATCTGGAAACAAATTTCCTTTTCTCTGGTAAGCAAGGGAGGGGGCAGGGGGAAGGAAGAAAGGAAGAACACTCACCTTGAGTAGATTTAAATTTGCCTTGGGGTTTACTGAGTGGTTTGCCTGGGGTGCTAGCTGGGGGTGGGTTGAACAATTTCTCTTCCATTTTTGCCTCCTTTACATATTGACATGATTTTCCCAGTAACACAATGCTATTAAGCACTTTGAGTGATATTAATCTGGAAAATTAAAAGGGTACACCTTACACATTTTGCATTACTGAATGCTCATATTACAACAGCTTGGGATACGGCTGCTGTTCTCTTCAAGAACTGTTATTTGTTAGCTACCCCTTTCAACTGTAAGATTACATGTAGCTTCCTTTTCTTAGTTGGCAGACAAAAAATGCACACTAAGATGGTTGCAGTGCTCCTAGAAGTCACTTAGACCCAGATAAGAATATTTTAGTTAGTTACATTTGTTTAGGTATTTAACACTGTTTGCTTAATAAAATAGCATAGGCCTAAATTTAATATATTAAGTATTTAAACACATAATAGGGAAGGCATATTGAAACTAACAGTAAATCCATAAAATACATTTTACATGACACCTTCAAGTTTTCTCAACTAGGGTTGATCTTGGCAACTTGCCAGGAACTCAAAAGAGCTCACTCAGATTATGGTAGCCTCCAGTTTTCACAAGTGATGGTCCATGGACTCTACAAGTCCTACATGTGGTAATTCACCTCCAACATGTTGGGAGTAGTGTGGTCCAGCAGAGATCGAAGACCTGGGTTCCTTTCCTACATCTGTCATTGATTTGTTGTGAGAGCTTTAGTATATGACGACTCTAGTTTCATCTTACCTGCAACACGGAATTAAGCTTACCCACCTTTGTAAAGGGCTTTGAAACGTAAGCATTAAGTACTACTACTTGCAACAGAATATTACATATTCATTTCTGTAACATTTTCAGACCAAAACCTCCAGGATGAACACAGCTGAAGATTACAAAATAGGAACACAATGGTATAAGGAAGTCTGATTTTCTCTAGATAAAACCTAAGCAATTGTCTATGTTCATTTTAACCTGCAGGACAAGCCAAGTGAACTTTTAAAACAGATTCTAAAATCTATTCATTTTTCAGCCCTAAATCAGGTTGACTTTGATTTTTACAAAGCCAATTCCAACCAGTCTGAATGTGGGTCCTGCATTTCATATAAAGGAACTGTAAGTACATTTTATTTCTCTCTCTAAAACACCCTGGTAGAGGTTAGATGGAACTTTTCACCGCTGTTGAACAATAAGATTCCTGTAATAGCAAACAGGTAGGGAAGAATGCAGGTACAGCTAATGAGGCCCTGAAAATCTATTTCTTTAGGAAATCTTAAAACACTAAGACAGTCTAAAAACAGAAACCTTACTGAGGAAAAAATGTTTTCAGCAACTCAACTATATCACAATGCCTCAATACACTTTGACATCCTCTAAGGAACAAGTAAATTGCAATAAGTTAAACCACATGTAAATACAAAATAATAAATATTTTGTCATTTTTATAAAAAAGTATTCTTTTCACCCCGATATGAAGGAAATTCAACAATGATACTCTGAATGCTCACTCCCTTTGTTTGAAAGCATCAGTCACCCTCTACGCCCACTTATTCATCCTTCACAGTCACAGCAAGTGATTGCTAATTGAACACAAAGGCTCTGTAGGAGATGCAAATGTTCACCTGCAGACTGCTGAGTGCTGGACACTAAGACTGCAAGACTTACTGTTATACTATTATTCTTTCATACCCAAGGCAAAATTCAAAGTCTGAATGGAGGTAAGCACACATTTTATTGCATACCACAGCCACCTACGATGGTATTACAATACATTTTACGCAAATTGCACCCATGTTAAGCATCACCAAAGGGCACCTGCCTTCCTTTTGGTCACTTTGTTTTAACCTTAAAGCATCAAACAAGCAAGTTATTTTTTACAAAAACAACAGCAAATGCTT